TATGTATACACACACACACACACACACACACACACATATATATATATGCCGAGCTTATTTCTGTGGTATTTCAAGAGATTCTTCATTTCATTTATTCCTTTCCCTAGTGAGTTCATATGCACAGAGAAGTCAGGATTTATTATTACATATTTTTCCTTGAAATGCTATGAGTGCTGAGTTACTGGTCACACGTGGGCAGTTTAGTGGCAGCAGGCATGCAGGAATGTCCCTTAATGAGATGACCTAGCTGAGAAGCAGCATTAGCTAGCTCTGGTGAGAAAATGAAGAGAGAAGGAATTAAAGGCCCCGGGGTTGTTTACAAGATTTGCACAGCTCTGGGAGAGGGGCAGAAAAATAAGACACTGGAGATATGCCTGCATCACGACGTAACTATGGTGACAGGGACACACTAGTCACACTGGACAACCTGTCGTTTTGTTAATTTCATGAACCTAGACTCGGGAAGCATAAATATTTCCCTCTACCACTTAACAACCGAAGTGACCTGAGCCAGTCTGTTTATGCTCAAATATAAGGAGAGGATTAACCACTGTACAATCAGCTGAATTCTCAGTGTGGGGCTTAGCCCGGCCCTGCTCTATGGCTTTTATATGTTTCAGCATGAGTATAGATCTTCCTAGAATAGCCCATAATGCTGTGTGGTTCTGACTGCTGTTCCACAAAACAGAACTGAGAGCAGCAGTCACTGGAAATAAGGAGGAGAAGGGACCACAAGTCCAAGGACCCTGTGCCCAGGGCCACAGACCTTACATATCTGCCCTTCCTAGTTCAACTGTAACAAACTATGCAGCATATGTCTGCTTTTAAGTAACAACACACTATAGCCAAAATGTTATAAGAAGGACATATGGTCTATAGTAAGCGATGACATAGTAACATCTCAGAACATGTAATAGCTAACTGGGAACATGTCGCTATGAAAGGAGACAGAGGGTAAAAAAAACTACACAGAAACATGACAGGGATCCTAGGAACTGATCGATAATAAAGGTACATATTACGGATTTAAAATTGTAGGTATATTCGCAAAAACAATGACGAAATGATCTCTTTCTACTCTGTAGCACTTAAATTCAAAATGCAACAACAGGGACAACCAAGAAGAGTTCTTTGAATGGAGACCATCACAGAAAACCACAACTGCACACAACACAGAGATCGACCTTTGATCATAGAAACCCTGGTCCCAATGGGTACATCTACATCACCGCTCCTGAATCTATGGCTCAGGGAACATGAGAGAAAGAACAAAGAAAAAATGGCGGAGAGACCAGAAGAGCCAGAACTCCAGGAAAATGTGCATTGAAACAATGTCTCCTGAAAATGGCTACATGAACAAGACAAGAAAGATAACATTATCAATGAACATCCTAATGTGGAAGGCGTAAAGTTTTCCAGGTCCTACCCCAAGACAAAGGACTAAAGTTAACTAATGACAGTTGGGAATTACACTCTCCCCAGGATCAGCCCCACAGCCAGTCTAACGCAGACCAGTCGTTCTTTAAACCCTAGATATACCAACAACGGATTCAGCCGATTCTATTAATATGTGCATATACACACATGTATATGTGAGTGTATATAATGTATAATAATGTTAATTATAAAAAAAAGAGGCTATCGATGAGAGCCAGGGGACAGGAGAGGAATTAGATGGGGGGGGCATCTGGGGAGGTTGCAGGGAGGAAAAGAAGGAAAAAAATGTTGTAATTCTAATTAAATTTAAAACATATTTTAAAAATCAAAATTAAAGACTATAAGAGGGAAGGAGGAAGCAATATACTATATCTTAATTGAAATGTGTTAAATTCTTTTAAAAATTAAAAGGTAAAGCTTCAAAACAGAGTGGGTGTATCTTTCAGGTAAGACACTAGAAGACTCCAAAGGGGTTCCTGTGCAGAACTCTGTTGAGGTTTCCTCCAGGTCACGGAGTTTTATTAGCATTGTGTTTGTAAGTACCAGAAAACCATGGTTTAAGTTCTACTGGGACATTTGTTTTTAAAAGTTTATCCTCTTGGTGGACAATTAACTGGAGAAATGACCAGTGACCAGAGTGACCACTTCTCTACAGTAGCGGCACAGAGTCGCAGCAGAGAGTCGTGAAAGAGGGCAGCGCCTCAGGGCAGAGCTAATTGAGAACAAGGTTGCCTGTTACTGCTGATTAAAGAGCAGCAGGAGAACAGGCTCTAAGGGTAACCTGTGCTAGCCTCATCAATGTCAAAAGCAAAACCAAACTAATAGACAACCTTCCTTGGCCACTGTTACGCTCACAAACTGCCCTGAACACTTCACAGGATTGCTTCTTTTTAATTCTCAGGCTTACACCATCAGAACGATATCCTTGGTATTTCGTCACTGAGGGAAACTGAGGCACCGAGAGAGACTAAGTAGCCGGTTGTCATAAGGATAGGAAGTGGCAGTGTCCTGATTTGAACCCGGAGTTTCTGAATTGTTGGGCCTGTGCTTTAAGGGACCAATGGTCAGCAGTCTCTGTCGGAGACCTGTCTGGTTCAATTAGCCTAAGATATTCACAGTGCAGCGAAAAGGACATGAACCTGGCTGAACCACACAGCCCTGAACAGGCATCCTGCTGAGTTACGGTAAACACAGACCCTGTAGTCTCCTGAAACACAGAGAGTCATTCATCAGCAGGACCTCCCTCTTCTCAGACTGTGATTTGGAAGTTTAGCCTGTAATTTTGGAAAATAATCTGAAGCTCAAAATTCACCAAATGATGTCATTATCCCATCAATGTAACACAGCCCTCCCCATAAAGCTGAGATGCAGGTAGACAGAAACGGAGATGGGTAGAAAGCCAAGGCAGCCATAGTAAAGGCAGGAGAGCATCAATGAAAGGAAAGAGGGTGGGTCTTAAGTGTTAGTCCCGCCTCCAGCCCCCAGTGAAGTGCACTATTAAAGGGAGGAATGATCCTGGTGAGAACTGTTCTACTCCCTCCAAAACATCTGTCAAATGAACCCAGATTTTCATTATGTGCTAAAATCTTCTTTTGATCATTTGAAGTCCAGTTAGCTTTTCTTTTTCCAATCACACAAAAATATTAAATCACAAAAATATCCCCACAGGCCCATGGATCCCAACTTCAGAAGGACAGTGTTTGAGCTCTCTCCAAATGTAGTCCTCCTCCCAAATTTTAATAAGAAAACAATCCCCAAGAGCAATGAAATAGATAATTGAAAAGTAAGGATTTTTTTTTAAAATTTGGAGCTATAATTATATAATTATAGCCATGATTAAGTATGTAACCGCTGGCAGAATTATAAAATGGTAATTTCTTCTCCTAAATTTCCCTAGACCAAAATTTCCAAGTTCATGATTGAAACGAAAATCATACTACTTTCTTGTCATACTCTACTGCCTCTTTGTCCCTAACTGTCCCCATTAGCATCAACTAGAGTCCCAAACATTCCCTCATCCCCTGCCTCACAGCCATAGTCTTAGCCACGATGAGGGGGCAGCTTGCACAGCCCACTGAGCTAGCCAGCCTTCAGCCCCATAGAGCTACTTCAGAGGTTGGATTTATAAGTCATGTCCTCAATGGACGAGTACATTTCTGGCCAGACCCCAGCAACAGGTCAGTCATCAGATAAAGAGGACACAGAATACCCAGTGAGAGGACCTGGCTCCTTACAGAAGTCCCTCTGTCACTGAGCCCACACAGCTGTGATTCCTGCCATGTAGCGCTCTTTGCAGCCGTGAGACAAATTCCTTCAATGTTTGTTTTGGGCAGAGTGCATTTTGGGAGGGTCTGGGTTTTTGAAAGGAGAGCTTTTAAAACAAAATTTCAATTACTCCTTGTAGCACATGAGTCAGTGAAAACTTGGATTCCTTTTACGACTAAGATGGATTCTTGTAAAAAGTTCGGGCTAGGGTTGTAATTTGGTCGTGTGTGCTGGATCCTAGGCTTGATCCCCAAAAGCACAAACTAATAATGATTAATAATTGTAATGACATAACAAGAAATGATCACGGGGCTAGACATGGGTCCAATTTTACTCATTGAAATTTTAACAAGTGTAACAAGTGGCATGTGACTGGACCTAGGAACTCTTTTTTTCTTAAAGCATAGCTTTAAGAGCATAATACTTCAAGCCTTGACATCTGCCTGCTCACAATGAATACAGACTTGATTTACAAATCATTTAACTCTTCATTAAAGCCATTCACGAGTCCATGGTAAGTTTAAATGACTGAGCAGTGCTTCCTTCAAAACGCCATTCAACCTACGCTCTACACTTGACCCCATTTCTTCCTCCCCTCCCCCATTCTACCACAGAACCCACTTACCTGGGAGACCTATGGCTCCAGGCAAACCCTTAGGACCTCTTCCTGGAGGACCACGTTCTCCTTTTTCTCCCAAGTCACCTGCATTAGAATAAAGAAATGTTATGCTTCTATATATCGATAAAGTTCTATGCTTTAAACTTTAAAGAAAACACAAACTCATGAAATTGCTGGAAGCCAGATTTGTAATAGATACACAGCAAGGCCAAAATCTTATCAACAGTCCCAAGAAGAAGAAGGAAAAAAAAATCAAAATATTGATTTGTGCCCACTGAAATACGTTTCCCAAAACTGGATGTGCATTTTCAGTGAAACACTCAATGAGGTAAGATCCTCAACAGGATCAATCTATCTCAGCCCAGAAGTGTAACCCTTGACGATGGCTCTGCCCCAGGAAGAGGAAGGAGGATGTCCTCTTAGCGCTACTGTACATCATTTGCTTTGAGGAATTAAAACAATTTCTATCTTCAGGTAATAGGAGCACATATTTTAAAGACAAGAATCAATTTTTTTTAAACTACTAAAAAACAATAAGCAAATTTATTAATCTAGCAAGATACAAAGTTAATATACAGAAATCAGTTGGCTTCATACAAACAAGGCAGTGGTGGCGCACACCTTTGATCCCAGCACTTGGGAGGCAGAGGCAGGTGGATTTCTGAGTTCGAGACTAGCCTGGTCTACAGAGTGAGTTCCAGGACAGCCAGGGCTATACAGAGAGAAACCCTGTCTCGAAAAAACCAAAAAAAAAAAAAAAAGACCAAGCTACAAGATGAGGTCTTCGTGAAAAAGAAACAAAAATGGCTGTTACATAGATGAGCGAGCAACTGGATTTGCTTTCATAAACAAACACAAAATCAAAAAGGAATGAAGATGCTTAGTCTATAAAATTAGCACGAGTTTCATGGCTCTATTAAACATATCAAGTCTGTAAAAATAATGTAGAACTGTATATAGCTAAGGAGAGTGCAAATCGGCTCCACCTCATTGGAGGGGGTAAGAAAATAGCAATCAAATTACAAGCGGAAGTTCCGAGAATTCTACTTCCAAAAATTCACTCTCAAAATAATAAAATATTTTGGAATGGAGATAGCAGTAGAAATGAAATCTGTGCTGATATTTTGTATCAAGACGAAATATGTCGGCTGCTGTGCGCCCTGCCTTGCTACAGCAACAGAAGGCTAGAAACCGTCAAAAGGATCATCAAAGGGAAAGAGTCAGTGAGTGCCTACCACAGAATAGACTGTTACACAGCTGGGGAAAATCACCAGCAGCTCTTTGGAATGGTCTACTGGACATACTGTCAAATGAAAAACAAACGAGGTCCAGCCTGCTTACTAAAGAACAGTGTGGTTCTGCTCATAAGCAGACAGGGGAGTACATGTCCCCAGACTCATATAGCATTGCTTGTCGGGTCTGTAGGGAGCCAGTAGGTTTCTTTACCATAAGAATGACAAAGGAAACTAAGCATATAGGAAACTTTTGGGAGAAATTCTTTACTAAATGTCCTTCCTACACTTAATGTGGGGGCAATGTAAATGTGGTATTATCAAAAAATAAACTTATTTTTAAAAATTCAAGTGAGCTGTTACAAGTGTTCCTTGCTTCTGACTCAGGTCACTGGGAATATTCTGTGGTCGTAACCAAATGTTAAAAAGCAATTACAAGACAGTTGATTGAACTTGAGGCATGATCAACTGCAGAACAACGAATGTTGCAAAGCCTTCACCTATAAAAATTTTATATAAATAAAGTAAATTTAAGTAAAATGTATATATGCATATATGTGCACACACACGGAGCATTCTCATGCCTCTCTGGATATTATTTATTTCATTTTTATTTTTCACACATTGTAACTGATGCTCTGCTCCCCTAAGAGCTGATTAATACAGAAAAAAAGTGAGTCAGTTATAATACGTATTTCCTTACACCTTCATTTCTATCCCGTCTCACATCTGTTTGACTCACACTAAAATGTCTAAAAATACACAGGATTACTCAAAGAAGTTTAAAATTAATCCTAACCACCAACATTTAAAAATAAGGCTTAAGGGCTGAACCACTAATGAAACGCTAAGTCAGGTGAGCACAAAGCCACTTTGCCGTCTCTCTCATGAGTTCAGCCCCTCCATGCATGAAGAGAGTGCATTCAGCACGGACACTGGACTGTGTGGGGGCAATTCACATATTATGGTTTCATGTAGAACTATTTATGGGGGCTAAGCCACAACCTATGGGGACTGAGCTGCTGCTTTACATTGATGCGCATGCGCAGGGTAAAGCTATGCGGAAGATAAATTTGGGGACAGGGCACAGTACAACGTAGCTCTTATCCAAAAATTCTATTGTTTTCCAAAGCAATCTCAAGAGGAACGCAGTGACTAAGACATAGCCTGAACTTTGTACTTCTTAACAAGTTTTATTTTTCTGAGGCCCATGGTGACTATATTATCACAGAACGAGCCTCATCTTTTTATTCGGTAATAGTGGGGAAAGAGACCAGCCATACTGACGTACATCTGATCTATAATGACTCAGAATCTACATTTCAACAGGGTAGACTGTGTTTCCTTGGGGGAAAATTTTGAGCTTCGAACTTCTGAATAGTGAAAAACAATGTTTTCATTAATAATTTCTGTCCTATACGTGGTAGGATATAGCCAAGGTCAGTTACCTGGAATTGTGTGTTTCTAGATTGGTTGTAGTGTTAATTGATTTTTTAAAAAAACTAGTAATTCTGCCTGTCTCCATCCAGGTTTCAGAAGTACGAAAGCTTTATGAGACCTTTATGGAAATCCTGATTTAAATGACTCCACAGAAGAAAGGGGGGCCTGGTGGAAAAAAGGTGACGTATCTGCATAAATGATAGACTATGTTGTGGACACCGAAGAAGAACCAGGAGGAAACACTGGGATTAATGAATGAATCTCGTGCTAGAGGTCTCTTCCCAGTTCCAAATACAGAAATACACTTTTCTTAGATGAGGTTCTTCTGCTAGAAATTGGCTACATGTTAAAACCACCCGAGGGACACTGTAAGCCCCGAAAGCCTAGACCAGTTCATTCTAAAACTCTGGAAGTAGGGTCCATAACCTGGATTGCTGGTAAAACTCTCAGGGTGATTCTGAGGGCAGCCACAGCTGAAAGATCAGGTGGCCCCATAGACTTTCAGGTCAGCAACTAATACAGACCTTCAAGCTGCCTGGAGCTGGGTTTGCTTGCCGGAACAAAATCAAGATCGGAACCAAGTACTGTTTTTCCAAAGAAAACAGGGATGTGATTTCTGTAACCACATCTTGACATGCAGGGAATGCTGCATTAATGCCCATGGTAGAGGCACAAAATGTCCAACCAACTCAATAACCCACCCCAACCAGTGCATTTCCTTAAACATGGTTTTTAGAGAGGTCAGGATGACCCATAGGGTCATCTGGCACAGAATCCTGAACTAGTAGCTAAAAGGGACAATGATGAATAAGCATGTGACACTTCCTGACAACTCCCTTCCCTCTCCCGTTCATCTCTCCAGCCTTGCAAGACTTCCAATTAGAGTCCATTTTTAACATGCAACTCTGCACATGACAAAAAAAGTAATTAAAAAAATTGTTCCAGCTGAGGGTGTAGTTAGCCAACCACATCAGCGACTCATTTAGAGATTCAAAGAGGCAGCTGGCTTGACCTCTGACCATTCACACCATAATATTTATCCCTAATTGGAACACCACAGTGTTTAAGATAATGTGGAGAGGGGTCTCTTGGTTTTTATCTCACATCCTTCTAAAGGTTCCCAGAGAGCTGTCAGTAACTCGTAACAACACAGAAATCGTTCACTTAACTTAATTCTCCATAAATTATACACACCTCCACTGACATACTCACCTCAGCTGGCAGATGCCGTCTGAGGTACCCAGTCAGTTCTGCAGAATGTCTTCTATGCTCATTCACAAACCTGTGTCTTGTTTTGGTTTTGCAAACTTCCCTGCATATAGCACTTGTTTGCTTTAAATGAACAGACTCCCAAATGAAAGAAGGAGTTACGTTAGTTTGCACCCTGGGCCTGAAGATAAACGTCCATCAAAATTAAAACTATGACGCTCACTTTTGAAAGAGGACAGCCACACTCATCCCTGACATGTGAGCAGTCACATGTCCTGTGCCTGCACTAGATTCACAGACACAAACATCTTTAGCTGCTGTTTTAAGAAAAGTCCTACAATAACTTTTAGAGTTTCAGAATTTTCCACGATTCTGTGAGATTGGGTCCAGATCACACAACTAAAGAAAACCAGCAATGGATGTGTGTCTTGTACCTGACAAAAATAGCTCACCTTTGGGCCTGAGAGTTGGTATCGTGGTTAAAAAGAGCATACTCTGTTGCAAAAGACCTGAGTTTGAGTTCTATCACCCACAAACTTACGCACAATTCCAGCTCGAGGGGGCGGGGTCTGATGCCCTCCGCTGGTCTCCACGGGAACCCCACCATGCATATACACATACACGTAATTAAAAATAAAATAAAACTTAAAAAAAAAAACTACCTTACCTTTAGGTCCCCTTAAACCAAGAGCACCAGGGGGACCCTTAATGCCTGGAAGGCCACGGATTCCCATCTGACCGGGGAAACCATTCTCTCCAGGGGGTCCTGGAGGCCCTGGAGGACCAGGCCTCCCAGGAAGACCAGAGGCTCCTGTGTCTGGTCTCTTGAGGCTAGCTGCCATTTCCGCAAAATGCTCTGCAAGACAATAAACCAAAAAATGTAAGTCACAAACACAGCAGTGACTTGGATGAAGAAAAACGACATCCCCAGTAGCCTGTATATCAATGTGGCACCAAGAAAAAAACGAGTTTAGTGTTTTCCACCAGCTTCCAATCAGGAAGCTTCATTGAGCATCTTTTCTGAGCTTGCCCTGGATCTATCTGGCCCTGCTGTGTTGAGACACAGTGGGATGAGGGTTAAACTCCAGGGCTTTGAAATGAGTTCTTAGAAACTTGGGAGTGCCCCCCTGAATCCTATCTGGTACTAGGTGAAACCCATCGTATAAAAAGAAAATGAGTTTCTTATCATAGGTGAAAGTGTTGTCTTGGACCTTTTCAAAGTCCAAAACATCGTTCAAAATTTGGGTTCAGACATTCTTTGAGACCAAGCATCAAAACTAAAAGCAATTTTATAACCTGAAATATCACGAGAATTCGTGGTTTCTAATAAATTCTTCCCCTCTCGTTTATTTTCATGCTTGGAACAGATAACAATCATTAAAAATAACCTTCCTTGGGAAGGGTCACAGTTTGTCTTAAAAATTTAATAACTCTGGGGGTTTCTCACATTCATTAAGAATCAGCGGCTAAAGCTGTGGAAAGCAAGAAAATCCATCCCATTAAAATGCTCTGAGGCAAGTACTGTAGTGCAGTATTATTATTTTTTAAAGCTTTAGGGCGTGAAAGAGAAACAGAATGGGAAACAAATTTCTAGCCAACAGTGAAAAAATTATTTAAATATTAAAAAATATTTAAATATTTGAATTCCTTAACTTAACAAACATAAAATTATAAATTTGCAGATAGGTTAGTAATGCTCAAAACTCAAATAGAGAGCCAGAATAAAATGTATGCAGTGAAGAAATTTATATTGGTTTCCAAATATAGAAACATTCATTCCATTCTCATCCAGTTCTAGAAAATTCTACAAGTCTGCTAGACAAACGGGACTATCTATTGGCAAATAAAAGACAAGCATTTCTTCAAGATGCAGTTATACCATCATAAGAGGGTTTTCTGTTGAAGGTAATGGTGTTATAGTGTCTCCTCGGTTGGGGATATTTTGTGCATATTCATTTTTTGTGTGGTTTTATAACTAGGCAAACTGAGATGAATAATGACTTCCATAGCTACAGATAAATTTGGATAAAGATTAACAAATGAGAAAAAACATCCCTGTTTCTGGAAAACTTCTAGTTGTTGTTTTTTTAAAACATACATACCTACTACACGGGTATAAATACTGTCCTTACCCCACACATGGGCATGTGGGCATGTGGCTGTCACTTTGTTCTCACATGATTTGGAGGGACTGGAGGACAATACCAGATACATACTAAATGGTGGCAACTTAAGGAGGGGAGACACCTGAAAATTTGTATTGAGATATATATATATGTGTGTGTGTGTGTGTGTGTGTGTGTGTGTGTGTGGTCTGCAAATGCATTTTCTTTTCTGTAAGTTATCGTCCTTGTTGGAATGTGGTGGGTAAGACATAGAGACAGAGCCTGGGAGGGTATTAGAGAGAAGGCTAAGACAGAAAGGTAGTGTTTTATTGTAAGGCTCTAGGCGTCAACACTTACGCGAAACAGAACTGGTATTAACATTACTCAACATCTCCCACCTTTAAAGCAACTGTTGCTTACCCTTGAACAGCTACAGAAATAAAAGCTTAAAAGGCAAGAGCAGATCGTGGAAATGCTTAAACCCCTGTGATGTATTTACCTTGCACGACTCTCATGCAAACCTGCTTGATGTGCTGGTCTGTCGGTGTTCTGCCCTGGGACGAGAAAGTAAAAGGCAGGTTATACTTGCAAGTTTAAAGAGGACATTGTTGAAATATAACGACAGATGTCACAAAAAAAACAGGCGGTTCAGTTGATGAGACAGTTTGACGCTTGGCTGAGATTGTAGGGGCTCCCAATAGGAAGCCACAGGGATGTGTCGGCCCACTCACCGGAGAGCCCTGGATACCAGGCAGTCCAGTAGCACCCTGTTCTCCCTGCACTCCCCGGGGTCCAGGTGGTCCTCTTGGTCCTTCTACTCCAGGAAGCCCTCTGATTCCTTCAGGCCCCCTCAGGCCTGGCTCCCCAGGGTTACCCACCTAGAACAAAGAGTACACTATAAAATCTGGTCTAGACATCAGCAATGTTCCGCTTAACATCAATATAAATATTTAGGTGGAATTTTAGGTTTCCTACAACTTATGTCCCACAGTGGTGCGTGTTCAGAAGTTATCTCAAGGGTTAACACATATTACCATTGAACCAGTCACCAGCCACTTAGAATTCTAATGTAAGTAAACATATTTTTTATTATTTCAAAGTCTCCATAGAGATTAGATATACTTAAGGTCTCATTTGCTATACTGTAAGCCATTTCATAAGGACAAGTCAGTGGTTTGGGTTTTATTGTTCTGATTTTGAGCCTTGCCCACCCTGAGTACATGCTCTACCACCAAGCTATAGCCCAGTCCAAGCAAGTTGATTGTTCATTTCGTTTGGTGTGTGTGTGTGTGTGTGTGTGTGCATGTGTGTGTGGTGTGTTTGGGGGCACACACAGAGGTCAGAGGACAACCTGTAGGGGAGTGTTATTAACCTTCCTAATGCTACAACCTTTTAATATAGTTCCTCATGCGGTGGTGACCTCTAACCAAAAAATAATTTCCATTACTACTTCAAAACAGTAATTTGTTATTGTTCTGAATCATAATGTAAATATCTGATATGCAGGATATCTGATATCTAACGCCCCAAAGGAGTCGTGATATACAGGTTTAGAATCTCTGCTTTAGGGATTAGCTCTTACATTTTTCTCTTTGAGAAGGGATCTTTTTGCTGCTTCATAAGCTAAGCTATCTGGCCCATGAGTTTCTAGAGAGTCTTCTGTCTCTGCTTCCTGTTTCCCACTGGCATACTGGGATTGCAAACTCTTACAATGGCTACAGCCAGCTTTTCCATGACTTTTGGAGGTCTGATCTGAGATTGTGTCATTTGTGTGGCAAGTCCTTTCACCCCCTGAGCTGTCTTTCCAGCCTGTCATTGAACGTAGCCTTTCTTGAATGTAAAATGTTCTTTTTCTTTTTGGGTGGGGAGAGGATTGGTAACATTTTTCTGCCAATAAAAAGACTTCCTCCAAGTAAAAGATTTCCTCCAAGATATGCAATTTGAGGATAAAAATGCAACAGGTCACGAATATAAGTTATTCAGCTTTTATAAGATGTTTTTGGTGAACTTGAAGATGCCAATAATAACCAGGAATTACAAAGCACTAACATAGACTAAGCCAGTACATTCAACATACTACCTTGAAAGTGAAGCATTAAAAAAAAGGCAACAACGACAGGGGGACTGGAGCCATTACAAGGTCCTCTTCAAATACTGGAGGTCAGGTCTCTATCCCTGCCTTCGCAAGTTTAGAATTGCCACAGCCTTTCTATACTTAGAGAAAGGAGGAGATGTCAGGGGCAGCCCTGCTTACACACTGTAAGCCTAAAATCAGCCATAGGCCTAAAATCAGCAGTGGGCCTGTCATACATGTATACTAACACCAAGTCTTGGGTCTCAGTGGAAGAATATTGAAACAGATGGCTATAAGCTAATGTCAACGGGCAGCTTTTGTGGAAATTTACAAGCCTGAGTGGTCATGGACCTTGTAAATAGGTAGCCTTGGCAGATAATACCAGCTTAGATGGGGACAAGTGAGTCATAGGCAGAGTCGTGGTGACTTGTCCCCTGAACCTTCACCCAGCCGATACCCGGTTCTGAAGATATCTGTATTCTCCTTGAGCACCCACACTCCAGTGTCATTCCCTTCCCCACATCCCGTCTTTCTGTGTTTATACCCCTGTGTGAATTAATTATGATTTGAGAAAATATTAAAAAAATAAAAAAGGCAACTTTAGAGTTTAAAGTAATAAAGGGAATTAAAACCTAAACATTAAAGAAGTTAACCAATAAGCCACTTGCTTCCTCAGCACAAAGCGTACCCACAAGATGAACTAGATATTTTCTTTCCCTGAAAGCAGACCTCTAAAAGCATTTTTAAAGTCATCATATATAATAAATGCTTTTAAAAGGAGACTACATTAATTCACTCTTTTGTGAGACTGGAATTTGTTAGAATTTTATAGCACAGCAGCCACAATGCACTGTTGCTGAGAATAAGAATGTACAGGGACAGGAGGAAGTTCGGGAATAGTAGTCTTTCTTGAACGGAGAATGTTCATCAGGTGGCTTTACCCTGCCTCATTTTCTCCCGTGCAGCATCTATCTGTGGAAAGCTACCTCTTTCAAATATTCAAATATTTTCAGCCCGAGAGAATTAAAGCAACAATTCCACCACACACTGCCACACAAGGCTCCGCAAGCTTTCTCAAGCTTGCTTTATGATGAAAAAAAAAATGATACTCATCCAAGTCAGCTGGACAAGATTACTTCTATACAGAAATTACAACTTGAAAGAAGTCATCAACACAAAGAGCTTAAGAAACACTAACCATGGCTGGGAAATTGTCAGGTTCCCAGAGTGAAAAACTAACGGTTTCTCAAACAACCCAAAGAGGCACCCAGGTGAACAGAGAAATGCACTCAAGTACTGGCCACGTTGAATTATGCCTTCGGTTCATGGCAATGGTAACCACTGCTATTATATAAAAGGCAGGTACTCTTGGATGGAAAGATCAGGGTGCCATAGGACCCCAGATCACCCAGAAAGAGTTCTTCAGTGAAACTGCACTGGAACAGACATCCGGCTCCAGACGCTTCCAACCTAGAAAGTTCATCTGTGCTGACATAAGATAGATCAACGAAAGCTCCTATGTTAATTAATAATTTTCTTGACTCTGAAAGAGTACAGTTCAATTTCTTCAGCATGACGTGGGCAGTGTGTCACATCAGTGGGAGATAGAGAGAATTCGTGAATTAACAGCTAGTTCTTAATACATCCAAATTAGATGCAGGGCACGTCCCTACATTATAATCAATTTTTATTTTACTATTTGGATTCTTTCCCTTGAACATTGTCAGATTTGTCCAGATAGTAACATATGATTTCCCTCACCAAACACATGAGGGTTAATTCTTCATATTTGGTACAACTTTAAACCATTCCTTTCAAGTATGCTTGGACATAAACATCGCTTGAGACTTGATGCTTAAAGGCAGAGAAGTTAACGGACTGCAACCCCACCCATGTGCTAGTATGCAGACAGCCTACAGACAGCCTGCATCCAGCCACTGAAGCCAGGTTTGGATGGGTGCTCCTGGAGAAGGTAAGGTAGAGGATCGGCTGAATGCATAAGTAGGAGATAGAATTTCTCACAGAGAAAGTCTATTCTAAAGTGTTAAATGACACAGTATGTAAAAGTCCGGAAAATGGATAGTTCCAGCTATCTGGAAGACAAAAACCAAGAACTCTTCCAGACAGATTTGGTCTCCTTTGCTCAAAGTCTGATTTTACTCTACAATAGTTACCTCTTTTAAAAGTTATCCTTTAAGTATTCAAAGGAAAGAGGAATATCGTGGGTTCTTTTTCTTTAGTAAGGTTATATTAGCTGCTGTGGAGGTAATTTGGTAGATAAAGAAAGAAATTCACAATATTCTAGAAATAGAATTTAAGAATTCACTAGAGCTAGTAGTCTGGCCTTTGAGATTACCATCTGAGCTTTAACTTTTCTGTCAAAATCCAAGTTCCTAATTGTGTTGGTGTGCATAAAAGCAAGATGCCTCAGGGTTCCTATGGATTAGATCTTTAATTTGGAATTCATCTATTCTAAGGACATAGGTTTAGTCTCCGTAAAAGAACAAAACTGAAGAAACCCATCGTGTTATGGTTCTGAGGATTCTGTCATATCTTCTTACGTGCTCTGCTTCTCTCTCCGTTCCCTCAACTAGAACACACAGGAGATCAAGAAAGTTATTGAAATATTTTGCAGTAGCACACCTGCCAAAGAAATTCAGTTTTCCTCCTAGGTGTAGAGCAGGCGTCAGCTCTTTGAGATGGCCCATTTGGGCAGGATATTAGAGTATCATAATGTAACACTCATTGAGCCATTTATAATAGCTAAACGAAAACCTTTCTTTAAAGTGGTTAGTTCAAAAGCTAGATCCATTTACACAGTTGGGGATTTCTTTCAACTAGACAAACCCATTATTTACACCTTTATTTAGACACGTATTTCCTTGAGGTCCTTCAAGGAACTAACTTTATGCTATGATTTCCTGAAGGAGAAAATTGCATTTCCTACAGTTGTATTGATGTTCTTAATTTTTTGTACTGTTACCGTTCATCATACTTACAGATCCCTTTGGGCCAGGTTGTCCCATATCTCCCTAAATCAGTAAGACAAAATTATATTAGTGCAATATATTCACTTTACATAGTTTCCTAAAAACATTTTTCCAATGGTATTGCACGGCTAAAATACAGAAAACCGTGTGCTGAGAGAGCACAGAACTGCAGAAAATGTGTCTGACTCAAAATGTGGGCTGTCATTGCAGGTTAGCTTCTCCACTCTGTGTTCCTGTGTTAGCACGGCCCTCTCCCTGACCCTGGCTAACGGATCCATTAACTAATAGGTTGCAATCATGGCTTTGTGGAGTTCACCCAGATCTACAGCATGCAGTACCAGGAATGTGTACGTAATAAAATAAATAATAAGACAAAATAAAATAGCTTTTTCTTGATGAACATGATAGACATCTAGAACTACCAATTGAAATTTCACTTTTGTATTTTTTATTTTTTTAGTTCATTCCCTAAAATCTACCAAATAAAATATGCATGCTTTTAGGCTTTAAACAAACAAACAGACACACCAGGAGATCTCCCCATCATTAATTTTAGATGAGTTCAGTTCAAGTCTTAGCATTTGAGTTAGCATATCTCCACTACTAGACAGGACTGATTTAAATTTTAAAACACCCCCTTAGCTCATAAAATGAGCAGCCTCTACAGAAACTAAAATGCAATCATCTCAGAAATTTGGGGGGAAAATAATCTGGTGACTTTGCCAGTTCAGACATTTCATTTATATTTATTCTAAACCCTTTATGTCTGAATAAATACTAGCAGATTGTTTCTCTGCTCTTAAAGCACTATAAGGTTGTTTTATAGGAAAGGCCTTACTGGCTGAAATAGGACTCATACATTTCTATGGTAGGTCTGGTCATTCCTGCCAAAGCCATTAAGAGGCAGCAAGCAAATCCAGCGACTCTGCAGACAGACAGCAAGGTCTGTGCATCCCCCTTTTCTGGAGATTCACCAATCCCATCCTCTGGACATGGAGGTCATTCCTTCAGACATTTTGAGGGCAAAGAGAATGCCCTCAGTAATATTTATGAGCCACAGCTTCCTGACTCTAAAACCACTTCAACATTGTGTCCCTGCTATGCCCTCTTCCTTTTTATTCTGCAGTACTATATCAAGAGCTTAAATGTCTCAATGTAAGACCACAGGAGAATTAATCATCTCTCAGGGAATTCAACAGAAATTTAAAGCTAGGTCTACCTATCTGCTTTCTTAGGCCTTGCCTTCAGTGTTGGAAATCACCAGATAAAAATAGAGGAAGGTCCGCTTAGCCTTTAAGATAAAGAACAGTGTCAGAAAGAAGTGTATTTTTCAACAATTTTAAAGTTTTATATTAACCAAAATTTTTTTTAAAAAATTCTTACAAGGTCACCCCTTGCTCCTGCTTCACCTTCTTCACCAGAGGCACCCTAAAATTTTAAGATAAAATGTTACTTGGTTTCCGGTTCTCCATTCATGGTTTAACTTTAACCAGACAACATTGATAAGCATTTATAAGCACCCCAATGTCCCAAGGATCATGCAGGAGCTCTCACTTCCTTGACAACAGGCTAATCCTAAGTGAAAAGAATAGACCAGAGAAGCCAGAGAGGCCAGACAGGTTTCAGCTAATTGAGTTTAAATCATTTAATCAGATTAACAATTCTATCTAACAATGTTAAAATTCAATAACCCTTGAAAGCGGCATTCTACGGTAGAAAGAGGAATCCAGATACAGGCCGACTCCATTTACACATTTTGTTTGCTGAGGTCTTGATCAAAAGGCATGTTGATTAGATGCTCTTCTGTGGCTTCAAAAGTCTGTGTCATCTGAATAAAACTCAGCAAGCTAGAGAGATGGGGAATACTCGCTTCAAAGGAAGAACACCATGCAGTCCAGGGAACAGCCTCTAGTGCTGGCATATGAAAACAGTCTGGCTGCACACCAAACTCCACTATGGTTTTCACTCACTAGAAAGCACACTGAGAAAAGCTGTGAGCCTTCATCGGTACACCACACCCACAAGCCAGCCAGTGCTATCCTCGTAAAGCGGCAAATACTGACACCTCTAATTGCACGTAATGCTTACCTGTTCACCCTTGGGACCTGGTTCACCGAATACACCCTGGAGTGAATAAAATTTAACATTTTTCAGCATTTGGAGTTGCGCGCATCATTTCAGAAGAGCCAATATCCTTGAATGAGCTGATGGATAAAGAGATGGGAGAGAGCTCCCCAGTTCTCACCACTTCATTGAAGATCAGAGGAGACCTGGTCTCCACACAATTGTTCCCTAAATCTCTTTCACTTGGTAGGAACAAAAATTCAGAACTAAGTAAAAACTATAACTACAACTGATACTTTTATTTTTCCTCCTCGGCCTTTATTTTTCTTCCTTCTGGAAAGTTAGTTTTGTTTTGTTTGGAATGTCAACTCTCAGTCATTTAACACGTCTTTCACTATATTTCCTCATAATAATCCATAGAGAAAGTCTTCACTAGGTAAAGCAACCTTGATTTCTCAACAAAGAAGGAGTCAACATGGCAGATTTAAAAGGGGAGGGCACACAAAACCTTGTAAAGTGCTGGATATCTTACCCTGTCTCCTTTCATTCCAGGAAGTCCAGGGGGCCCAGGCAAGCCAGGAAGGCCAGGGCTGCCAACAGATCCCTGGAAAACAAACAGAAAATCTTCAGAGTCACTGTGTCCTCGATGCTCAAAGTTGACAAGCCAGACGGGGGCCCTGGGGTATCAACTCTTGTGTAAAGTTAATGTGTGGTTGGTTTAGTGCTGCCTCATTCCTACATCCCAGGAGAAGAGGGGTGGGTGGCCTCCTACCTTCCACCCCACCTCTGAATTCCCTCTACACAACTTAGCAACAGTGAGCTCTTTCAGCCAATGCCCCAGCAGCAGGCTGTTGGTTCTCCTGCTGTGTAAACAGAGCTACACAAGCAGCAAAGGCCAGCATTCATCCCTTCCATTCCACTAAGAGGCAGATGCCAGCCATGGCACTTCATACGTCTGTGGGTTTTCAAATGCATTCTACAAACCACACTGATTAAGACCCTCACGGAGATTGTCATAGATGCAATTTGAAATGCCATATTGACAGTTTCACATACTCATACAACAACTATAAAAGCCATATACAGTTAATTAGATGATCTTTTGCAATTTTTTCTCTCCTTTCCTGTTAAAAAAAAAAAAAACCTGCTTTACAGAAAGTAAACATATAGAGATTAGAAACTTCACTTACCAGTTTCCCTGGTATGCCTGGAGACCCTTCTGGTCCTACCGGGCCTCTACTGCCCTGTGAAAACACACACGTCATCAGATGGATGTTCAGCCCAGAGTCAAATGCTTCATTTTTATATGAAAAAAATAACATTTCACCCAGGCTTTTGTTAAAATATAGGTGTTGCCAAAATCTCCAATCACTCCAACTGAAGTCTCAAACCATCCTCTCAAAAGTCTAACCAATCGCCCTCTGTGCACACTGTTCATGGAACCTGCTTATACTGTTCACTGGATGCCGGGCCAGAACATTGGAACTATCCACTGCCTGTACACACAATGTACATGCCTGTACACATTAGTAATTTTCAGCATGTAAGCCACACCTTGTTTTATATTACATATATACACAGTTTATGCTCTCACTTAGGGGTGTTTTTAGGGTATTCCACACCCACTCATTGGGCACGATGCAGTGTCTGTGTAAGCTCTTGGGTCTAGAGATGCCTTAAAGGAACAGCTGGCAAATGATTGCGTACCACCGAAAAACATAAAAGGGAAACACAGGGCAGAGATGCTTGCCTTTAAATGATTACTGTAACCTCAAGAACACACAGATGGTAGACATTTATAAACTTTCTGAGATAAAATTTCTTGTTTCATTCCTTCTAGATCTAAATATGTCTCCAAGGATTGAAGGCTTTGAAAAGTGTGACTCACCACACAGATCTGATAACAGCAATGCTAACATTTACATCTCATGGGCCCATTTCAAATTTTGTTACTTGAAATCTAAGTCTTCACATTTCTATTCTACTAGAAACCCTAAACTTTAAAGAAAAGAAATTTTTGAGAAAAGATGCCGTGTGATTTTTACTTCTTTCCTTGAGAACTCAACATAGTTTCCTATAATCTGACTAAAATCTGTTATATACCTAATGCTGTGATCAGCTCAGTAGAATGCACTGGAACACAAGCAGATAAACAATCATACTTCCCTCGGGGTGTATCATAAAACTGCAGACTAATCTGAGTTAGTTTTCCTTTAAACCGTTATAACAGCTCATTTTAATAATTCATGATTCTAAAGGCTTTGGGTGAGGTTATATTATTCTGGCTTATATCTGTAGATTGGACAAGGTATCAAGATCCATAAACCTTCTGGATTTTCGATTTCCCTAAAGGTTACCACATTACAACAGTCTCTGGCTGTGGGCTATAATTTCGTTATGGCTATTTCAAATGACTTACAAGTGATTGAAACTCGATGCTCATAAGTACTTTTCAATAATTTTCACATTAACAACCTGTCAGGTTAAGCATTTGGAATAATACATTGGTCCTTAATCCCATGGGTGACTCGGAAGCCCAGAGGCAGTAAATCTAGTCCCAGGAGGATGTAAATCTAGATGGAAAGTGGCCACTGCAACAGTTCTTTTTTTCTATCCATCAGTAAAGATTGTCTTCTGCCCTCTCTCCAAATACCCACCACAGGAGAGGCTCATGGGCCCACCCTTCCCTTGGGAACTATTGACTAAGGAAGAATTCTAGAAAAAAGAGAGTCATCATCTTCCACAGCAGAGGCAGTGGTAGGTCCCCTATGCTCCAGGGGACTGTATTACACCTATGCCCAAGCTTATGTCCCTGGTTAAACACATCAAGTCACTAGACACAAAGACAAAACAAGAAACCAATGAAAGAGGAGGGTCTTCTACACAGGAATGGAGAGGAGGGTAAGACATGTGCAGAGTATGTGTGATCATAGTACATTAGACACATGTATGACATCGCCAATGAATAAGTTTAATTTTTAAAAATTGCACCGAAGGGGAAATTTGACTTCTGCTCCAGTTAATTTGGAATAAATCTTCCAAGATGGTATCTCATCAGTACGTGTGTGTGTGTGTGTGTGTGTGTGTGTGTATCACTGGCATTCTCAAATAGTTCCCAGCTGCCTTGTGATGCAGATTCTCAATGATGTTGGTCTAACAAGACTTTAATCTTAAAAACTGATATCACTGATGATGGAAAAGAAGTATCAGAAGAAAGCTTAGTTCCTAACTCATGCATTCACTTAGTCACGCTGAATTCCCTCCTAAATAAAAGACTCATGCTACTGCATCAAATTAAGGATGGTTAGTATAGCAATTTTCCATGACCCATATGGAGAAATTCCAGTATCAGTACTATAGAACCTTTAGTTTATTCTTGGAAGGATTAACTATCTAAAGAGTCAAAAGCAAGGATTTTCTCTGCCGAAATCTTATCTTCTCTCATCTTTCGAAGCTCCTTACTGTTTGTTCCACAAGTCCCTGGCAAGGCTGTGGCTGAGTGCCCACAGATGACTCAGACACCACTGTCAACACCTGTACTGGTGGATGGATGTACCCAGGGGGAGTCAGTGTCTGTGTAGGACCCAGAGAAGGACCTGTGACATGTAGATGTGTCTGTGACTGCAGGAACAGGTAGGTTCTCTGTTCTGCATTCCCATGTTACAAGCTCCAGGCTATTCTGAATGTATCTATTTCTAGAGAAATATCCTTACAGGGAAAGTCCACCATGTACATTTTCATAACAGGTATCCATCCAATGGAGTGACAATTGAAATGCTAAGGACAAGTTTTCTGATAGCCATTTTCATGGTTTCTGTATAACACACACACACACACACACACACACACACACAGAATCACATATACTCATGCAAATTCTGGATTTTTACATCAGAAGAGAAAGATGAGGGACCAAGATATAAATAGCCATTCTAAAACTGGATCTTAGCCACATTCTAACAATAACTAGGCAAGCCACTGTCAACTGAGACTGCACTAAATAGATGACAGAGCCCTGTACTCCAGCATCTTGTGGTCACCACACCAGCGTCTTGTGGTCACCACTCTCAGTGTGGCCAAAGGAGGCAGAGACAGAAATGCTCCTTCCAGTAGGTGATATTTACACACCCCATAATGATAAGATTTTCTATTTATAAGAAGAGAATCAAAAGGAACCTGGATGAAGATGGAATTCTGCCAGCTGATATGTGAGAATGTACTAAAAGGCTCTTTGTTTCTCTTAGGGTCCCTGTGTTTCCACATGCATCTCTGAGAACTTCAGACCCATCTGCAGATGCACCTGTAAGAGCCATCCAAGGCTTTAGAGAAGATGCAGAGCCTCTGTTCCAGCTATGGCTACAGATAACCCCACCGAGCCCTGTAGGTCTGCGTTGCATGGGTGTCTCCCAGCACTTCACTCCACAACCTCATACTCCCTATTCCTCCTCAGTCCTCTTCACCTTTCATTCTGATTCTCTCGTGCCAGGAGAATTTGGCAAACAAGTTCCAACTTCAAGCCATGCCGTGGCCATATTGGCATAAGAGTACAGAGAGAAACAGACAGCAAATAATTCAAGTCAATGCCTCTTGCCTTATAAAGGAAAAACTAGACATTTATAAAGATCACAAAAAAAGAATCATTACATTTCGTAAAACTAAATGTTACCAGCATTGTTTTCCAAAAGAATTGACCCTATTTCATAGGATTAACTTGTCATGGCTCTCATATTTCACAGGTATCCAAAATTACCTATCTAACTAGCTGAAGCATAACGAATATCCTTGGTGCATGTTAGCTGTGTTTCTGAAGTGAGAAATGATACATCGTTATATTCAGCCTGTTCTGTGTACTGTTTCTCTCTGGCAATAACAAAAAGGAAAGATGCCAGTTTAACCCAAAAGATCAATTCTGATTTCTCTAGAGTGTTTTTTAATCAATTTATTTTCTTATTAAATTGGACAATCACATGAGGTCTACCTCAGAGAATAACTTTCGATTTGTCATAAGAATTTGTTTAAAGGATTCAATTTTGTGATATGATAGACTCGTATTATCTTGTGCGGATTTAAATATTCCTTTATGTGTAGGCAGAGAAAAAAATCTATCTGAATGCGTACGATCACCCATACCAGCTTTACACACTATTGCCGAGGGCTGGGCAGGATGGGGAGCAGCTTAGAATAGTCAAGGACACACCATATGGTCCCCATATGGAGACCTCTCTGCTTGAGGCTGTTGAGCTGGGGTGGAGTGAAGGTCTCCAGGAAAAGTACAATGGGAGCATATGATGTTCAAAAGGAGGTAAACCAGCAGGGTGCTATTCCCAGTCAGAAGCAAGAGAGCAGAGCAAACATAACCGGACTCATCCAAAAGCCTGGCAAGCTCTGAGAAGCCTGAGAGGGTGGTTGGCTAGAAGCCACTAAAATACAGTACCAAACCAGAGGCCAGAAGGCACTCAGACCAATAATAAACCAAGCAGAGAAAGTGTGGGGGAGTGGTTCCCGTCACTAGGGAGTCAAAAAAAACAATATCAGAAAAACAAAAAAAACAAAAGAACTAATCCTTCTTACATTCAAATCAGCAAAATATAATTGCAAAGTTATGCATCTAGGATACATCAGACATATGTTCTTATTTCTACTATTCAGTTCAACTTGAGGTAAATTTACGGAGAAATCTGATCACACTTGCCATCCATAGATAGAAATGTGTGACTCTACCTACAAAATGGAACTCAAAGATGTAAATGGAAGTGTAAATGCACCCTCCAGAAGAGCGATTCGGTGTTAAAAACCTTGCTCCAGAGCTAGAACGCTTGCATCATGACTTTTTTTTTTCCTGAAAAAAACATAGCAGGTAAGAAGTCAGTTATTAGCAATGGAAGCAGCATGGCAGGATTTATTCTGCCTCCAATCTAATTTATTCCAAGAAACATTCAATGAGTGCTGCCTTCTGTCAGGCCCTAAGAGCCGGAAGAAGCACAGAGATCAGTCGGGCATCCTTTGCCCTCTCCGCACCTCACAGCAGGGAACACAAAGGGATCAAGAGCTTTGGACTTCAGAATAACTTCATGTGGACTGATGACTCAGAAGTGGAGAGGGGCTGCAGCTAAACGTGAGGAAAACCAGTGAACTACACAGAACAGTGTGTAATCCTATCCTGAGGTACTCCTACTCCATCAATAAGAATTTCTGTCGGCCATCTTGGGTTTCCATACATAGGCCTCCCCATGTGTGACACCTGTATACACACACATACACAAAGAAGGAAGGGAGGAAGAA